GTCCCGTCCACCATGTTTAAAGTTTATGGCCCGCCCAACCCGGAAACTCTGGTATCAAAATTATTTCCGAGTTTCCCAGTAGTAAATACGACTTGAAAAGCGCTCACGTCTAATTTCCGATTAGGAAACTCGTGTTTACGATAATTCTGATAGCACGAGAAGGCAGCATAAGTCATGAGATGATTCACAAACGTGCAAAACTGCACTTAATAGAAACTCCGGCGCTTTCAGCGGTGAGTGAGTTCTAACGAACTAAACCGTTTCTGATTGGCCATTGCAGTCAAGAAATCAACAGATATGTCTGTGATTGGCTACATTGCTCAATGCTGCAAAAACATGTTGGATAGTTTGCCAGGGGCCCGTTCTTTGTCCGTCGCTAACTCAGTTAGCTGAATTTGATTGTTGATGATTTCGCTTGATCTTGGATAGTTTGGTTCTTCAAAGCTCATCCCGGAGTTGCTGTCATAGCAACAGGTCCGTGAGCTTAAACCTGCTCGGGAGCAGCTTATTTCATGTAAACAGGATTAGATCGCATCTTTTTAAGCAGAACTGATATTTAAAATCTGTCCTCTACCACCGCTACTTTATTAGAAGAGTACACTACTGATCCAGGGACAATAATTTAAAATAATAATCATTTAAACATTTATTTAAAGATAATATAATAATGTTGTTTAATACTTTAGACTAGGGCTGCCCCCTAATAGTCGACTAATCGTTTGTCGACCAGAAGAGGCTTGGTCGACCAAAATTTTATTAGTCGCAGAAAGAAAAAAAAAATCCACAGACAAAGTCACGAAGTCTGCGACTAACAGATCGTTAACGGCTAGTCTATATGGTAATAAAGTACATCAGGCAGGACATCCAAACGCTCGCGCCTATCATTCATCGACCTCAAATATGGCTTATCATCTGAAATATGCAAGTATTAGCAACTTTACATGGCCGCTCAATCTAATGTTAACCTAGAGAAATGTGCGCTATAGTGTCTGTGAGGAGTGTGGAAGCTGAACAGTAGCGCTCACTGCAGAACAGATGGAGGCGCCGCTGCGCTCACTTGCTCTTAAAATAGGCTACTCCGTCATTTTTGGTCATACAGATAAGAGCAATACATCTTTCAAACCTGTAAAGAATCTACGTTTATTTGTGTCCACTCACAATAAAAATTAATCGCGCTTTTGTAAAATAATGAAAGCAAACAGGATGCACTTTCTGCCGTCTCGGTCTCTGTGAACTTGAGCGCAAAACTCCGTGTGTATCTTTGCCTTACATGCATTAAAATATATATCTATAGAGAGTGAAATGTCTACTTTCAAATGAACCAATTCAAATGGAAAACAAATATTCTCAGATTATGTAATCCTTATGAAGCATGCATACAGGCGTATCCTCTACTGAGTGTCACCGACTTCATCTCTTAAGCCGAAAACAAAGAAAGCACTTGACTAGTTTATCAAAATGTTAATGTAGTCTCCTTACTGTTTTTCACTGACTCATTCATAATCATTACTTCTGCCGGTGCACTGTGGCAAAGATAATGTAGAGTCGTGCATTAATTTGAGTGCTGACAGATATTATGGGAGTGGCTTGATGGAGCGCAGGAGATCCAGATAACATGATCTTGACCCTTAAGAAATTTTAATTAATTCTGTCACCTAACAGATCTGTTCAAATATAAAATTAAATGAATTGCTAATTGCTACGTGCTGTCTTGCCGCCAGCCAATCGCTGCATTGCTGATCGTGGTTTAGAGTATCGATACTTTATGCTGCATTCAAGTCCTCCTGGGACATTTGTACTTACGAGTTGACAAGTCGTAATTACGACGTCAGGTGATACAATAGGGTCTGTTAACTCTGCTTATAGAAAATGAAGAGCAAAGAATTCGCATCAGGTGTGTTTTGCGTTTTTAATATTTTTAAAACATGCAACATGGCAAATCAAAATATTTTTCACCTATAGGTGAAATTTGGATTTCATTAACTAGCTGCGTAACAAGAACATGACCAATTTAATTTTATAGGACAACTAAACTATCAATTTAAACAATTAGCCAGATCCTGATTAGCGCGATGATATCATCTTGGATGTGACAAGCACATCGGATATAATAAGCGACGTATGAAGAACGGGCCCCTGATCTTCAGTTGCATCTGTTTAAGTTTAAGCATGTTTAAGCATCAAGTTTATTTTTATTTTCTTATATAGCACATTTCTACTGCCACAAGAGCAGCCCAAAGTGCTGTACAATGCATTCAAGAAGACCAAAGACAATAACAAATATCTTAAAAGAATTTTTTTTTTTTACAAATATTAAAACACAGGATCTTAAAAGAAAAAAAATATTATAGATATTACGTCTCTCCTAAATTTTGCTTAAGATTACCAACACTGCAACAGACAAGAAGCACAAATTCACAATGGAGTTTGTTTTGATGATGATGGAAGAGATGTGTTTTTAGCCATTTCTTGTGGCTGTTTTTGAAGGAGTTATGGTTGATGTGCCTAACTGGATGGTGAAATTGTGATGAAACGATGGGTTTGATAGGAACCACAAGCAGTTCTGTCTTGGCAAGGCTGAGTTGAAGGTGATGTTTTTATAGGAAATTTTAGATATTAGATCGTCCAGAGCCTCGATCATAACATTATAACAGGCACCTTCCGAGTAGAGACCTGCACTATCGTGGGACCCAACGCAAAAGAGTGCAGTGCAGGACAACACTTGATGGGCGAGTGCGGGTGCGGGCGGGTAGAGACTCGTGTTTGCAGGATGCGGGAGAATAAGGATGTACTCACATTAGGCAATCTTAACCGTGCCCGATAACCCCCGTGTTTGACCCCCAAAGCCCGGTTCACTTGACTAGTGTGATTGCTTCGTGCCGGTTGGAAGAGGTGGGCCAGAGCGCGGTTCAGTTATATATGAACTCAGTTATATCAAAGACTATAGAATACCCAAGACATGTCACTCGTATAGTTTTGAAATGGGGGAAAAATGCAACGCTCAATATGGCCACTCAATCGCAGGAAGCCCCGCCTTCTGAATGAAGGAGCCAATCGCTAATCGGTAAAGTCAAAGAAACAACATTTATGACACAGTTGCTGTCAGATTTCTTTGGTGATTTCAAATATGAAATTTAATCGTAAGCTTAGTGAACCGTTTTGGAGAATTTGATGTTTCCCTATACAAAGAGATAGGAGCTGCACTTGCATGCCCAAGAGGCGTTTCAAAGATGGCCGCCATGTGACATGACTTGTCTTAAAGAGACTTTGGTTATATTCAGTGAGTGTGAGCGCTAACCGCGCCGAAGTGCGGAACTTATGATACGTGCAGCATGACTGCGTGAACATTTCTGAGCAGCAAGAGTGATAGATCTGTAAAGCAATATATTGTGAAAAGGGCCGTGTGTTATTGCGTCCCAAACGACTCAAAATAATAAACCACAAAGTTAACAAAACGATGCACTCCACTGTGCTGAGCGAGAGGCTTCTCTGCAGTCTTCACATGCTATCGGAAACTTCCTATTTCCCACTTATTAAGTCGTGATTATGAGCAGGTTGCATTCTTTTCTGTTAAAAATAACAGTGAACAGTGGTTTGTGAATGTTGATGCTTAGACTAAATAATTTTATCGGGAGCGTTTATGTGAGCACTGCTGCAGTCTTACGCCCGAGACACACTGCACGATTTTCTGCTGTCCCAGACGAAAGATAGGCGTCGTGAAACAATGGTGGAGATTTCTGTGATCGTGGCTCCTAATCGGTGCTCTTATGTCATGCAGCGAGAGAGGTTCAAAGACGGCCGTTGACACGGTCTTGTGACCAAAGATAGCCTACGATACAGCATGATCATCACACAGTGTGTTTGCTGCTACGATCCACGTTTATTGACCAACCAATAAAAATGCAACATGAAATCATCATGTTGCTAAAACATAAAACTGCTCACCTCAAGCTCTTATTCCTTCCTCTTTTTTTCGCTTACACAAGCTTCAGTCTGGATCCAGAACACCTGAGAAGAGATGATGCCAACCCCTCAGAGGACCTCAGATGATGCCAACCCTGAAACAACATACAGAACTACCACATTTTGCTATAAGTTTGATTGCATCATATAATAATTGCTGTTAATAGTGTTCATCGTCTGTTTTATTACGTCTTAAATTGATTTTTCCGTACTGCTGGTTCGTCTGGTCAGAGGAGAACTGGCACCCCGACTGAGCCTGGTTTCTCCCAAGGTTTTTTCTCCATTCTGTCACCGATGGAGTTTTGGTTCCTTGCCGCTGTCGCCTCTGGCTTGCTTAGTTGGGGACACTTCATTTCCAGCGATACCGTTGACTTGATTGCAAAGATACTATTTAAACTGAGCTGGATGTTGACATCACTGAATTCAATGATGAACTGTCTTTAACTGAAAAATTAGTGTTTACTATTGTCATTTTGCATTATTGACACACTATTTTCCTAATTAATGCTGTTCAGTTGCTTTGACACAATCTGTATTGTTAAAAGCGCTATATAAATAAAGGTGACTTGACTTGACTTGACTTTTATTCAACACACATAAAAACTACAACTGCTAAAGTGTGATTCATCATGCTCTTTTTGTTTACCGCTAGCACATGCTGATGACATCTATTCTTCTATAGTAGCGTCCGTCGTAGTGTACGAGTCAATAGGTGTCATCATCGTACAATCTACACACATGTTGTAGCCAAGTTTATTAGATCCAGTGTGACATGCACTGATCTTATAGGATTGCTAAAATCGTGCAGTGTGTCTCGAGCTTTAGGCCCACCCCAAATGCTTTCATTGGTTGAGACGCATGATGACGCCCATCCCAAGCCAGTACTGATCAACATCCCACCACTCCTGTGACCCATGGTTTGTCTTTATGTGAATTCAGAGCCAGTGAGCAACGGACTTTCATAATAATAATAAAAACTGCGTTAATACGCGATAAATAATTGTCGGCGTTAATTAATTAATGCGTTAACTTGCCCAGCCCTAATGAATGAATGAATGAAAGCTAATATATATATACTTGATTTAGTGCATTTAGTGTATTGTGGAGAATACAGTCTGCTTTGTCTGTCATCTCAGCTCAGTCAGATACGAACATCTCTCTGCTGCTCTCAGTGCTGTAATGAACACAAATTATTATCAGACTGAACAGAGCAAAGGCAGTAAATTATGAAGTGTAATGATTTAATAGAGGCACGTCAAACACTCATTAGGTTCTTCTGCATCCAGCAGCACATTCAGAGATGAGATGTGGTCTATACAGAGATTTTTGACTTTTCTGAGAGATGAGCCAATCCCACCCGATTATGACCTCTGTCATAGATGCTGTAAAACTGAGAGAGGAAAACGTCTCCTAGAATCCAGACGGGTCCAACTGGAGACGGGACATCTATGGACTGAAAGCCACTGAAGCAGATCTCCTTATCGTTCAACGTCTCCTACAGAGGAAACCAGAGGAATCATCAGACTGTAGAAGCTGAGAAACTGCTTGAACTTGTGAATTGTCGAACTGGGAACATTTTATATGATTGCATTCTGTAGACACAATACAAATAAGTAAAGATAGTAAAAGCTATTAGCAACTCTGTATCTAAATGTTTAGGATCTTAAGAGAGTGATTTTTTGAAAAATACAGAGTTCTGGCATGAAACTCTAGATGGCGCAGTCCGATATGTCTAACTCAATCTGACCTAATGACATCATTATCACATGGCACAGCTGATTGGTTTTCTCCTGTATCAGTAGCCAATGAGCTCGCTGCTCAACATTCAAATATATGACTAGTGCTTGCCGTAGCAGTTGCAGCTTGCTTCAGAAACCCTCCACCTTCCCCAGCTCCACCTGTATAGATCTGCTACGGGGTGATTCATGTATTCTATATGGGGGTTATTTAATATATGATATATTTGCAGCAGCAGCATTTCTTACATGCTCACAGCAGCATGTTGTGGATGTATTGGCAGTAGCAAGTCTCGGTACTTGCTCTGCAGCAGCAGCAGCGTAGCAGATCTATTCTGCCAAGACCAAATACATTAACATTGTCATGTACATTACCATGCCAATCCCTCCGAGAGTTGTCATCACAGAAATATAAGTTATTAGCAAAAATATGCATTTTTATATTGTGTGACCATTAGATGGTGGTGAAACTGTTCAGGTAAACTCAGGTCATGGTTGTCATAACACACACCGAGCTTGATCTGAATACATGAAGCGCTGCAAAGACATATACCCTTACATTCATTTTGGTGCATTTGTCCACACATTGTTCAAGATTGATTAGTAGAATTAACTTGAATTACATTTTTTTGCCAGTGTTTTGAAGTTTGATATAGTACATTTTTCACAAAATTCAAAATGATGTGGACAAAATGTATGATGTCACAGGATGCATTAGCTCAGGAATCAGGACAATATTTTGAAGAATTCTGTTTCTAGACCTTAAGTTTGAGCTCTTGTTGGCGCTAGCGGGATCGAGAAAGAGATTCCAAATATACTGTGGTAAATGTTCAAACTGTCTTTTATCTGTGTGCCAGATTTAATAACTTCCCTATGTACTGTTCTTTGGGCCGCTATAGACTAGCGAGAAAAAAGAAGAAGAAGAGCAAAAATGAAATACAATGTTTCATTACTCCAAAGCATAAAGTGTCCTGCAGCAGGATAAATCTATTTGTGGCTGTGTTGTACTCACCCTCCTGATATATTGTTCTCCAGTGAGAGAATACTCCACATTATTGATCAGGAAGGACACTACAGGAAGGCTGCTGATCCTGACACAGTCTACAAGATACTGAAACCCACAAGCAAACAAATACAGTTGAGGCTGTAGTGTCTCTTCTCTTTGATGAATCAGAAGGGTGATCTCTAGAGGCCAGTCAATGAATTTTGAAGCTATCAATAACTATGTATTAAACAGAATGGGCCGTTATATAGGACAGGGTCTCATAATCACCTCTCCAACAGCGGTGGGTGTTGCTCCAATAAACTGCTGGAGGAGCAGGACATCTCTGGCTGGGCCGCCGATTAGAGAAGTTCCTGTGTCCACTACAGCTTGACAGCCTTGAGTACTACGATAGCAGAAACTCAGGGCTCCCTGAACCTTCACACTAGACACAGCAAACACAGCTCACTCATCTCTGGTTGGGTTTGTCTGTGTCAAATGAGTGTTTAATGGAAGTGAGCTCACTCACACATCTAATCTGATCTGCCAGTATCCCTTCTGAGTGACGGGAACCCAGTTGATGGGAGAAACAAACCGGGTTTCATCCACACCTCCAAACAGCAGCTCCCCTCCAAAGCTAGAGCCATTGTTCCTGTAATAGTTGTGAGGACATACAGTGAAGGTCACCATCACAACCTCAGTAAAAATAAACAAAAAAATGAACATGAATTTGTCTGCTTCAAGGTTGAGGATTGTCTATTACAAATAAAAGCACAACAATTATATATAAAAGTTATCCTCAAATAATTCTATCCTCACTGGTGGTCAGTGCCAATACTCAGAAAATTGTGCTTAATAATGTTGCTTTATTGTCCAAGTTACCCAACTCGAAACTGGACTGGTACATGGAGGCATTCATTTTTATGTCATTCAATTGTGCTGTAACTGTTTCCCATGACAAGAGATCCTGTTTATGTTGCAGGAAATTCTTTCTCTGTTGCAGAAAGCAGCAATAGAAGTACTTTCTTCTGCCGAAAGAGAAAGGCTTTACAGACAACATTTTTGCCCTCAAAAAGATGGTGGAATGAATCCAATTTTGGACCTGAGATGGTTAGATTTAACTAGGTGGAAATGCAGATCCAGGATGCTGACGCAGAAGCAAATTACTGTATGTCTCATATCCAGCCCGGGCACTGTTTTGTGACAAAAGATCTGAAGGATGCATATTTTTATTATTCAAATAGTGAGAAGGAAAACTTGGATTCTTCATTTTTTCTTTGAGGGGCAAAACGTACCAATATCAAGTCTTGGCTTTCGATCTTGCTCTTGCTCCAAGCACATTCCCAAATTTCATGGATGCATTTTTACCTCCTTTGAGGCTTCAAGGCATCCATTTTCAAATCTTGCTTTTAATTCTGGCTCATAATAGCACAGTCGGAGCACCACAATATAATTCATAGGCCTGGATTTGCTGTGGCTGAGTATCAATCACAAACCAAAGAATGCTGTTTTGTTACTGCAGCAGCAGACCATGTTTCTTGGGATGGAATTCATGCATGATGCAGGTTGTCTTTCCATGGATCAGTCCAAATAAAAGCATTTTCTTCCTGTGAGCAGACATCCTTCGTCATTCCTCTCACCCATTACTTCACATGAGAACATTTTTGCTGGCAATGGGTTCACCCATTACAACACACCCACTAGATGCTCACAGTCACAGATCATGGTATCAATTCCTATTGTGGAATCAAGTGTTCCAACGGATCATGAGGGTCACTCTTGCTTATGAAGGATGAGTAAAAGGATTGATAAATTGCCTGAAAATTTAGTCAGTGCTTCTAGCCCAGTAGTATTGTCTTCTAGACCTTCATGACACTACTGTTCTTGTCAGAATGGCCAACATGATGATGAGGTTATACATCTACAGGTTATAAATCTGAGGTTTGTTGTGGCACACCCTCTTGTGGGTACAGGACAAAATCCTGTCCATCAGGTCTCTTCATGTTCTGGGTCAGCTGAAATGGGGTGTAGATCTCCTTTTGAGACATTGGTTGAGACCCAAAGGATGGAGACTGCATCCTTATATTGTGGACCAGATTTGGGAGGTTCGGTCTGAGTCTGAGCCCCCCACAGGGCTTTTGCCAGTGAGGCACTTGTACACCCATATGGAGGATTCAAAGTAAAATGCAAGGTTGCATAAACTTCGTCCTGTTAAAGTTGAACAAATTTACACTGACTGCACTACCCAGTGGTGTAAATGCGAACTGCTGTTTGTGTGCTTTAGTGACCTTAGTACAGGTTTATCTGGAGTTCAAGAATACAATTTAACTTACTAATGAGGCACATTGTTTGACTTCACCTCTAGCATTTGAGCTCATTGAACAAGAAACACTTCCTCCTAAAGCTTTGGTGCATCCTTGAAAGACATTTTCATGGCAGCAGACTGGATCTCTCCATATACTTTTCTTAGGTCCTAAAATTTGGCTCCTGATTCCCAGGTTCTTTCTGTTTGTTTGGGAGAGTTCATATGTATTTTGGTAAACAGTCCATTGGGCCTTTTAAGGCACCAGTTATGTTGTGTTTTGAAGCCATCAGCCAATGAAACTGGTGCATTTCTATTTGGGCTTCAGACAATGCGCAAAGGTGTTCCCCTAGCATCAGCTACTGGTACATCTTGTTCCCTACTTAGGGAACCAGGGTTACATACAAACTAAGACATTCTCATACAGAATATCACATTTTCAGTGCCCTCAGTATTACCATCAGATTAAGTGGATCTGTAAGTGATGTTGTTGTGGTTTCTTACTTGAGATAGAAGGAGAAGACGGGTTCATCCAGCAAGCCCTGCTCTATCATACTGTCAAACACAGGAGAGCCCAGCTCCTCTGCCAGCTGAGGGAAACCCAGACCCAGAACCCCATCAAACTGAGCCAGCACAAAGGTAAAACCGGGCTCATATACAGCCTCTCCAAACACCTGATTCTGAACCGTCACAGAGCCCACCTGAACCCGGACAAACACAGGATTTTTTTTATATTAATGTATAAATATGATGGCTCATAGTGATCAGATACCTTTAATTCTTCTCTGGCCATCACTCCCAGCAGGTGCCCAGAGCCGTAATGGATGCCAAAAACTCGTCCATCATGCGCATACGTGCTCGATTCAAAGGCCTTGAACTTGTGGTGCATCGCTGTGCCAAGAGAGGAACACCATGACCCAACAGCACAAACAATAACCAGGTCAATTCATACAGGCACACACTTTTCAATGTGTGTAAATACATGTAAGGACACTTGATGAATGTGTTACCGCATGCTTGGCTGACGCAGTAAGATGATGGGACCCAGAGGTCAGTGGAGCCCGTATCAAACACCACTGTGAAATTCTGCTCTGGTTTGCCCAGACTGATCTGACCGAAGAACTGTGCCTGTACAACACACAACAACATGGTATTTTTAATGTATGTTACATTCTTAACCCTAATGTAATGATGTGTCATGGTTTACCAAACCCTAACCCTAAACAACTGATAATCGTAGAGCAGATATTTGTAGAAAGCATTAAATTCCCTTTCCAAGCAGCATCTTTCATGACTGTGTGTGCGGGGATTATTAAACTGTAAAGCGGTCAACCCTGTTACCATTCTTAAGGCATAATTATATCATTAAAAACATTTGGTAACACTTTGTTAAGGTGTTCTTGTTACACATGTTACATGTACTTACTATTCTAATAACAATAAATTATGCATAATTACATGCAAGTAACCCTAAGCCAAACCCTTATCCTAACCCTGACCATATAGTAAGTACATGTAGTTAATTAATATTACTCAGTACTTAAATGTATAACTACACTGTAACAAGGACACCTTAAAATAAAGTGTAACCAAATATTTTATCTGATGGAGTGGAATGTAATAAGGCAGCTGTTTCAGAGAATGGCCCTCACGGTAAGTTTAGACCATAAGGAGCATGTAACAGTAGATCAACACAAAGAAGTGCTCACGTCCATGAAGTTGTAGAGTCTCTCTGTGGATCTGCCATCCATACGAAGGTAGTGTTGTGCGGCCGGGTAACACTGGGCATAACGCCGGGAGAAGACATCTGGTTGGTGCTCGCGCAGGAACTCATCCAGCTGGTTAGCGGCTCGAAGTCGACTACGAACTGAGGGCAAGCGACTTAATGGTACCCTGAAACAGGAGAAATGCTATTCTAAAAACCTATGTCTGTATATTCTCACAGTGATTAGAGATGTGTTATATTGATAATCTCAGAACAATGTTCTCAAGGATGGGCAACTTTGATAGTGACAAGGGCCAGCACTTTTTCTCTTTTATACCAAGGGGCCAGATTACTAATCCACGTCCACACACCTTTTACACCGTCTTACTCAATTTCCTTTTTATTGAAGGAAATTAAAGTATAATTAATGTAATTTGTTTTTAAAGATTTTTATTAAATATAAAACTTGTGCAGTTATGCTAATTCAGAAGGGAAACTTTGTCGTCAGTTGACAGCACCCCAACAAGCCAATGTAAACATCTCAATTGCATTGTCCTTAAATTTGCAACAAACAAATTAACAGGTCCTATTTTTCATTAGTCGCCTACAGAACATTATCAAAACAACCTAAGAGGACAGTTAAAAGACCTTGTTAAAAAATATATATACTGTATATATTTCAAATGGTACGTACCGGGTATCTGCAAATTTTTAAGAAAATTAAGAAAAGGGACGAGTCAAAAGTATCAATTATTATATTTAAACAATTATTATCAATCAATTATTATATTAAATAACATATAAATATATCTTAGTGACTTCAGTGTTTAGATTTTTATAATGCATTAGCTTCTTTTTGATCGACCGGTTCACATTTAAAGGTATGTAGCAAAAACAGCAGACGGGCTTATTGAAAATGCAAATTCGTTCTCTGCCAGCAAGTTTCGCTTTCGGAACTGCAGAAATGTAGCAGTTTCCCCGGTAACCGCTGAACACAAAGCAGCAGCGCCTGACTTTGAAACGAGCAGCGCTCATATTTTTTCAGTGAAATCGTAGCCTTTTGAAGTTTAATCATCATATTAATTATGCAGCATAATTAATTCTTGTCTTTTCGTTTCCAAATTTAGGACCTCTTATAATTAAGAAATTTTGTACCATTTAAGAGTTTTCATGGTCTTAAATTTAAATAATTAAACTGAAGAATTTTGAAGCCCTAAGAACATAGTTCAGTGCAAATATTTCTGTCATGCATTTGAATTTTACCTTTGAAATTTGAGACAAGTGCAACTCTGGCGTTCCCGTCGTTTGTGCGCAGTGGTGTGATGGCGATTGAATTTTTTTTTCTTCCAAACAATTCAAACATATAGGTATTCCCCTTGAACTTTGTAAAACGATAATCTGTTTACCATCTTGACTGTTTTCATGGTCAGTTTTTCATTTATTCTTTGCTAATGTTAGTGAATGTTTACATTAGAGTACACATCCTACTACGCTGAAATTAATACGGTGAGCGGCTGCAAACTAGCGACCTCTTCTGGTTGGAGATAGTATTAACATCATAAACTGAATGTGACTTACTTTTCAAATGTTTTCAAATTGAGCATCCGAGTCTGCCATCCGTATACGGCCCGCGGGCCACTAGTTGCCCATCCCTGACCTATCTTTCTTGAGTCTAAGATTTTTGTCTGATGACTCTAAACTGCATAACTAATGGTTCTGTCAGTGATTTCCTTCAAAAGTTCTCTTTCTTCTCACATAGCTAAATAACCATGGAATATTGATTTGAGTTATTGTAAATTTTGTTACAATAATAAGCAGGATAGTGTGGTCGGGCACGTTTTATCTCAAAATAAATGCTTCAGCTACTAACATAACCTTAGTGCCTGAGATAGATGGGAACCAGACATTGCATCATATTAGTTGATGCTATGGGCGAATTCCTTTCTCTGAAAATACCGAAGCCTAATTTAATTGTGTCTGTGTAACAATAATGTGTTATAAGCGCAGGACTGTCCCAGCCAATAGGCAAAGAAGAGGTCCTGTGAGCCTGGCCCAGGGATGGGAGTCCCGAACCGAGAACCTTAACGAGGAGGTGCGCTGACAGTGGTATTACTTGCAGTAGAGTTTGGTGTAAGAAAAACTTAAGCAGGGTGGCAAACTGCAACGGAAGCTGCCTAGATATGTTCTTGGATCGGGCCAACAGAAGCTAAAAGGTCACAGACTTTGGTGGCATTCGTTGCACCGTAGTCTATTCCTCAAGCAGACAGGAACCGCGCTTACAGTTTGGGAACACATGGAGGGCAATGACCAGCCAGCTGCTGCGCAGATGTCACTAATAGACACCCCGCTCAAGCAAGCCCAGGAGGAGGTTATTCTCTGGGTGTGCCAGAGTGAGTCACCTGCTTGGGAGAGGAGATCCCCTACAGTGGAGTAGGCGAGGGAACTGCTGTCAGCAGGTAGTGCACCTGGGGAACCACGACTGGCTCTGTGGGAGCAGGGTCACTGGAGGAAAGGCATATAGGAGCGCTTTAAGCCATTTGTGGATCAGCGCATTCTTCTCCGATGAGAAGAATATCAGATAATAAGGGTTCTCCTTTGAGGCAAAGTGGTCCAGTTCTGCTCATCCAAAGTCCAGATCATCTGAACCATCTAGGGGTGAAGTCTCCATTCCCCTGGAGTCACACTACTCTGAGACAACATGTCTAACCCCTGGCTCGGTCTGCTCGGCACATACACTCAGTTATCAGAGGTTGCACTCTGCCCACAAGAGAGGTCTGTTAAGAGGGTGCAGTCTCAGGCCTCTTTGGTGGTATGCAGCAACTGTCATGTTGTCAAACCAGACAAAGATGTGGTGATCTGGAAGAAAGGCTTTAAGCACCAGGTGCACTGCCATCATCTAGCTGATAGTTGATGTGCCAGCTGTTTGCTCCACAGTTTTGAGCGTGTTCAGCTCCAGGTTGTTAAGACTGCACCAGACACCCAGCTTTTGCTTCTATAAGCACACTCGTCGCCATCCTGGGTGAGGCCAATGGGCAAGACATTCAATAATGACAGAGTTGTATATCTGTATATACAGTGAAATGTAGCAGTTCTTGTTTGTTCTAACAGGACTTTGTATCTAATTTTAAAGTGGATACTTCCGGTCCTTGATTCTGATTGGTTGAGCCGCGTTCGAAGCTGTTGT